AAAAAAAAAAAAAAAAGTATTAAACATGTTTCTTAAAGAGAATACATTTAAGCTTCCAAGTGATGAAATTAAGTCAGCCTTTTCAGAAGTCAAAATAATGTGTGAACAAAGTTTGAAAATCAAAGCTTATTTTTAGGATGAGTCTCTGGTACCAGTCCATGGGGAAAGGCTTATTTATGAATAAAATCAAAGGAAAACAAACTCATTGGAAAATCATTATAATTATTATAAACAAACCTTGAGAGCCAGGTGTGGTGGCTCAGGATTGTAATCCCAGCACTTTGGGAGGTTGAGACAAGAGGATGGTTTGAGGTCAGGGGTTCGAGACTAGCCTGGGCAACATGGTGAGATGCAGTACCTACAAAAAATAATTTAAAAAATTAGCTGGACGTGGTCGTGTAAACCCAGCTACTGAGGAGGCTGAGGCAGGAGGATCACTTGAGCCCAGAAGTTAGGCAGAAGTGAGCTATGATCACACCACTTTACTCCAGCCTGGGCAACAGAGCAAGAAATACCCTGTCTTTAAAATAAAATAATAAAATAAATAAACCTAGAGTTTATACATGAATTTAATGTATCAGTTAATCCCCCCCCTCCTGATTTATAAGACCAGAAGTTTTGAATTGTTTCAGAAAGCAGTGCTTTTACTATTTCATCAGTTGCATAAAAGGAATGTTTTGATGTGGAAGTTAGAACTTTCTTGAAAAGCTTTGGTCTTTCCTAAAGTATCAGTTTACCTTTCTTGTGTATCATTGATCAAAAGAAACTCATGCCTTCATCTCATCTGTAGCACACCAGAGTAATATGTATCCTTGAAGCTGTTTTCTCCAGAACCCTTGTTTCTAAGTGTGTGCAAAACTGTATTGCTGGGATTTCCAACGAATGCACTTCTGGATTCCACTGCTGCATGTTGTTTGGTTGGGTGTTTTGTCTTAATTAGACATTGTTCTTTTTTTTTTTTTTTTTTTTCAGTTTGTCATTTGATAAGGCATCTATTTCTTGGAATTATTTTTCATTTTTGATGGATTTTTTTTTCAAGTAAGTGTTTTAGAAAAGCTGAATGGAAGCAAACATTGCCTTTTCGTGTTAGAAAATATCTGTATTTTGTCCTTGATAAGTAGCACGGCTAGGTTTAGAAGTGAAGGAACAAAATTTGGACCCAGCCACCCCACCCCTTATGCACAGACACATAAAAGCACACTTTCAAGGCATTATGACTTTATTGTCTGCGATCCAGCATTGTCTTAAGAAGCCTGATGCCAATCTGAGTCACATTCCTTTATGGGTAATCTATTTCCCTCTCTGATAAATTGTCTTTCCTTAGAGATTTCATCTATGTGTTTCATCTTTTTTCATTTTTTCTTCTTTACATTTGGCAGGCCCTTTCAGTCTGAAAACTACAATTTGTATCATCAGTTTAGGAAATGTTCTTTGATTTTATTTGTCTCCATTTTTCTATTCTCATTTTCTGAAGTTGCTATTGGACAAA